TACTCTTTTACCAACGAATAGTGGGATTGGCCGTCACATTATAACGTCCCCACGGCTGAAAGGGCGAGCATGTTTGGTATGCCGGGCTAGAGTAGTTTGCTCTAATTTTTTGTTGTATGTTTGGTTATGGTCAGTATTTGACTGAATAAATTTAGATGTGTCATTCAATATATTTACCATTAAGGAATCATACAGTTTGGTTGGTAAAATCACAATCGAACTTCCTTTATCGGCTCTTTGAATGACAACGTATTCATTAATCCTAAGATGTTTTAGGCCTTTTCTTTCTACTAATGTCACATTTTGTTTTACAGGCTTCTTTTTGTTTAGTGTTTTTGCACTAAATTCTTCTAGGAAGTTTATTAATGGACCTGTTTTGGTCGGGAAATTGCTCATTAAGTTTTTCTTGTTTTTGCGAGATTTTGAATATTTCCGGCGATTCTTCGTTGTCCTTCGATGAACTAGTCGCCGATTCTTCTTGTGGTCTTGTACTCGGGATTAGTTACTGATTGAATTTGATTCTATTAGTACTTTCCTGTACAGGTCTTCAAAGCGGGTTTTTAGTTCTTACACCAGGATGGTGGGGTGGAGTTACTGTGTAGTTAAGACCTTTATCTAGGGTTGTGGTTTGAGATTCATCGAGTTGAATCCCCCCGTAATGCAATAAATAAATGTATAATAATATTTAGTTTATTGGCCCGGCATGGCCAGGTGGTTACGGCACTCGACTCGCAATCTGAGGGTCGCGGGTTCAAATCCCCGTCACACCAAACATGCTCGCCCTTTCAGCGGTGGGGACGTTATAATGTGACGGTCAATCCCAGTATTCGTTGGTAAAAGAGTAGCCCAAGAGTGGTGATGACTAGCTGCCTTCCCTCTACACTGCTAAATTACGGACGGGTTGCGCAGATAGCCCTCGTGTAGCTTTGCGCGAAATTCAAAAACAAACAAACTTTTATTTCTCAGTTTATAATGGTTATTTTTAATTTATTAGTTGATGGATATAACAATAAGAATTAGCCAAGCATTGCATTCCTATTGTGGGTGATTCAAAAGTTCATTGAAGGCAAATAATTCAGAAAAGGAGAGGTATCGGAAAATAATTGTCAGTGGTATGGAATGAGGTATGAGGACCTATCCTGTGACAATATTATAAACGACATTCAAGGTCAACTTAAAGGTCAAGTCCTGCAAAACTTTTATTGATACGTATCATACACCAAAATGTAAACTGCAAAAATGTAGACGATAGCAAATTGAGCATTTTAAACCCAAATCGCTGTACAACAATAACATTTATAGGCATAAATGTAAATGACATAAACATCTTAATCGTACTTTGAACTATTAACAAATAATAGCTGTATACAGTGTTACCCAAATTTTACAAATGGTATCATCTAGTCAATATTGTTTCCTGTTCTTGGTATGCCCATGCAGTGTCGATGCGTAAATTAACCTGTTGTATGCAAAATTTTCTATCATTTGGTGAGAAGGATAATGTTCATCTGGAATTCTGTTAACGGTTTCCATACATCAAGACCATGTTAAACAGTTCAACTGAATACCGAGCTATTTTTAAAGATACTTTGAGAGTAGCTGCAGCAAAACGATTGCGTGTCATCTTATGTAAGGAGCTTTTAATATTTTTGGGTCCTTCAAACGTGCAATTCCTGTTTATGCAAAATTCTGACCATGCATCTCTAACCTAGGTTTGTGTAAAAACCTTTGATATGCATTTCTTTTTCTCCCAAAACTTGAATTTCAGTGAAGACGACGTAAAAGCATCCATTCTTTGGTTTGCTACTTCTGCTGTATTAGACTAGCTTCGCCGAGTTCATGGCTCATCAATTCTGCTTGGATTGGTTTGTTTTGAATTTCGCGCAAAGCTACACGAGGGCTATCTGCACTAGCCGTCCTTAATTTAGAAGTGTAAGACTAGAGGGAAGGCAGCTAGTCATCACCACCCACCGCCAACTCTTTTACCAACGAATGGTGGGATTGACCGTCACATTATAATGCCCCCACGACTAAAAGGGCGTGCATGTTTGGTGTGACGGGGATTCGAACCCGCGACCCTCAGATTGCGAGTCGAGCACCCTAACCACGTGGAGCCTGTGCTGCTTGGAAAAGCGATGTAAACAAATACGGAAAACTTTATAAATAGTGGTGGAATTTACGACATTTCTTTGGTTTCGACGTATAGTCCTTTACTCACCACTAATAACCTAAAATACTTCAGGAGCTTGAATAACGTTACTATACCGTCACAACTAATTATCCATTATTACCAAGCGGGCTATCTAGTTCGCCGAAATTCACGTTTTGGTAAATAAAAGAAATTCATAAATAAATAACCAGTTACTCTGCTGTATAATAAATGGATACTTAATTGTGAGGGTATAGTCACATGATGTATAAACACTTAAAGTATGTTACAAATGTTGGGTAAAAGACTATGCATCATAACCAACCTTTGCTATAGACGGATTTCGATTTGAGGCACAACTCCATATGCATGGAAAAGGCGAATTTATGTCTATAACTATATTTCTTAAGAAGTTTTGGTACGTTTGGGTTTAAAATGTTTCATTTTTATTGTTTATACCTCTACCTTTTACATGTATGATTCATATTAAACCTTTTATGAAGACATTACCTTTATGATACAGTCACATGGTAGGCTCATAATATCTCATTCAATACTAATATCCTTATACCTCTCCACTTCTGAATCATTCAGTATACATGCTTGACCAGTGAAACCTGTAATGTCTGCCCAACTAAAACACTATTTTCAAATAAAGCAAACACTACAGTACTCAGTGTTATTTTAATAACCTAATTCATACTATTCTCGTATACTACTAAGTAAATATTGCTCCTAGGTATGTGCTTACCAACTGGTGTCTGTGTAATTTTTCAACGCCCAATTATACAAGTTTTCAATAACAGAAATATCTTTCTTGTGTTCCAGTTCTATAAAATTTTGTTCTAATGTCCTAAAAAATAACCATTTTAAAATCTCAGTATACAATTATTCGCAGAATATCTATAGCAGAAAAGTATCCTTAATGTCTGTTTTGTAAGTACTGTTCTCATAACCCAAATTATTCATTACCATTCTGTTTTAATACTATTCTCTAATATATTAATATAGAAGGACTGGTATATGTAATCACAAAAGTATCATTCCCAACATCACTCTTTAACCCAATACAGTATACCGTTCTTTGAATGTTCCTGTTCAAAAAAATGCCATCTTCATGTTAATATTAAAGTGCCATTTTAACATTATGTAAAATTACTCCTCTATCCCTTTACTATTAAGTACTGTCCTTTAGTCCCAAAGATAAAAGCAACATCTAATGTGGCAATATCAAAGCAAAAATGTTTTAATGTATCAATATAACACTTATTCTAATACCTGGTATGACATGACCATTCTCAAATCTTAATGCTGTTGTACCATCCTAAATTATGACAGTAGTATCCTAGTGTTACCACATAAGAAAAGTTTCTACATCCAGTCATAACAATCTCAGTATATAATTATCAAATTTCCTTAATATAACAGTTTCATACAACAGTAATATTCCAAAATCCAGTTAAAATGCTATATGACAGTTCCACTGCATCCGTGTCCTGCAATGAAAACATAGTCTTAATTTTCCATTATAAAGGAAGTATCTCAGTTTCCTACTGTGATTATATCATTCTAGTTTTCTATTGTTAAAGAATAATCTAAATCTTCAATTAAGAATGTATCACCTTAACTTTATTATAAAAGTACAAAGTTTTCATTTGAAAAGTACCATTCCAATGCCTTCATGAAAATAACTGAAATTTCTATAAATATACTATTTCAATGTCCTACTGTTAGAATATCATATTTCCCCATAACAAAATTACCATACCAATTTCATGTAGTAAAAGTATTCCAGGATCACACTTTCATGCTTATTTTGAAAGATTCAGTGCTCATTTAAGTAAAAATGACTTTTATTTATTTTCTAAACAGTGTACAACAATATTGGCTTGTTACAAAATGGTCAGACATTTCTGTCAATCAAATACCTGAAAGGTTAAGATACTGACAAGGCTTTTTACATCATCCATAGATCTTTTTTTCTTTTATTGCAAGGCTATATTGGCAATTTAAAATCAAATAAATCACTTCAAAATGCATTGCAATTAAACTTTATTTACATTTCATCCTTAATGATCCTATCAGTTTTTCTTTAAATCTTAAAAATAGGAAAAATTTTAACGTTTGTAAACTTTTATTACAGTTGCAATTTTCATTGTCTGCTAAGATAAAGTGCTGTCATTCTTAACGTCACTGAACCTTCTATAAAATTAAACGTTAATATGTATGCTTAAAATCTAATATATTTTACAAGTAGTACACATTCACATAAAACATTAATGCAAATTTAAAATATAAATTCATTATGAATGATGTATAATAACAAACAACAAAGCGAAAAATACACAGCACTGATATTTAAGCAAACAATATTTTTTACGAGGTAACACAGTGATCTTTGTCTACACAAGAGAAAAAAACATTTCTCAAAAATAGTGTTGGAATTAAAAACAAAACTTCAGCTATGATACATAAAAGATGATAAAAGCAGAAACAACATTTATATCTTGTATAAATTGGCTAATTAACATTATCATAGAAAAGTACAGAGTTTAATCCATTTCAGTAATATTAAAGAACAAAAACTTGGTATATATTCTCCACATGCTACTTCTTAAAAGACAACAAAGAAAAAAAGCTGTGAATACTGAATTACACTGTAGACTATCTTAATTGCATTCAATGTATAATTATATATATTCATAGTAATGTCACACATGATTCACATTGAAATAAAACCATACATATATACAATAAAATCGAAACACATTCTTTATTAAAATCATTAAGTGGTCATAAACACGACTGATTCTATGGTTGTGCCACATGCATGAACAGATTATACACCATCAAACAAAAATATTTGTATTGTACTTTTTATATACACATAAGAAAAAAAAAGTTATCTTAGAAGTTACTGTAGAAATGTTAGAAAAGTCTACTTGCAACAAATCTTGATGAAGCACATAAAAAGTGGAATGAAATAATGGTTATTACTTTGGTCTATCAAAACGAGCAAGTTTCAGGTTTTTTTTTTTTTTTAACTTAGCAAGTAGCAGCAATGAAACTAAAAAATGTGTTTGTGATCTATTAACATGCTCTAAAGTTTGATTTTTTTTTCCATAAACAATTTTAACAGTCATCGTTCATGATCCATCAACAAAATAAACATTTTCCACATTGAATTTACACAACTGTCAACAGATGCTGAATCATTTTTCATTAATCTTGGTGGGACAGGTTTCCACGAACACTTCATGTGCCACTGTTATAATGAACAATTACTCACATTGACAACAATGATAGCTGCACAGACTGCAGACTAATATTCAATATTTTTTTCCCCACAAACAATCTTGATAACTTGAAGCATTTAGGGCACTGTTCCATAAGGCAAGTCACATTTGTGACATTTTTAGTTCTTCACATTAAACATCACATTGTGTCATATTCTCATTTCACTGTGCTGATTATCAATAAAATATAATATAGGCAGAAACAGCAACAGCTGGCAAACAGAAATACATAAAAATTATCTTAATAACTTCTGACATAAGTTCTACTTGGTCACAAAACAAGTGGTTTGTTCAAAAGTACTCAAGAATGAATATCATAATTCCATAAGTACATATCTCTCATGTTAACATCTGCTTGTGGAGGTCCTCGAGGGGAGCTCTGGCTGATCGGACCATTAAGTACTGCTGGAACTGATGACAGTGGAGGACCAGGAGGACTTAAAGGACTTGGCTGATCAGCTGCAACATAATACAGTTAAGTAAGGTTCAGTTTTCCTAAATGATACTGTTTGCGCACATGCACACACACACCAACAACAGACGATCATGTATAAAACAGTAAACTATTGCACAAAATAATATCATGGCATAGGCCAGGAAATCATCATTTGGCCTTGGATTTTCTCTCATTTTCAAGGGCACCAAGGCTAAACAAAAATTTACTGTACTAAGGCTTCAGTACACATTAATGTTAAAGAAATAGAAACGAGTTTCCTAATTAGTTTAGTAAATATGGCATTAATTTTTTTCATTGGGGGCTTGAGAAGCTGGTCTATACTTTAAGATTATGTTTATCAGGTAGTTAATTATTAACTTCAACCAATGGGACTTATGAAGTAACAGTACATCAGTTTTAAGATTATAAAAAGAGGTATCATGCTGATCTAAAATGCTCTATGACCTTAATAACATTCCTATTTTTTTTTCCTCTCCTGACCCAAAAGGACATTGATCTGAAAATCATATGCAACTTTTGGGCACCTTTCTCCACTTATTAATTTGTCTAACTTTGAGAAGGATCACACAAAATTTCTGGGAGGAGAAGGATTTGACCTCTGGTGACCTTACAAATCATGAACAAGTTTCAGGCATCTCTATCCACTTACTAATTTATCCAACTTTGATAAAAATCAGATTTACACGTAAAGAGAACAAGTGTTTTGTAATATTCCTAGCTTTAACCCCCCCCCCTTCTGACCCCAAATAACCTTTGACCTAAGAATTGTATACAACTTTTATGCACCTCTATCCATTTATTACTTTAATTTTAAGAGTGATCAGACAAAATCCCTGGGAGAAGGAAAAGTTTAAAGGCCTAATTTCTAATAACAAAATTTAACCCCGACATGTCTGACTACTTGACCAAGATTGATAAAAATTAGTTACAGTCTCCAAACAGCAGCCCATTGAAAATCTTGATAGACAGATAGATAGAAAGACACATTGCCATGACATAAAGTCAACATTCTATTTCCAAACTAGTATTTTTTTGCATAATTTCTAATGTAGGCTATTACCAATAAACATTAAACTAGCCCTACACTACAGTATAGCACATGGTCATAAATCACTTATCGTCACACATTTCATTGTGCAACATGCTACTTGTAATTCAGTAACATTAACCGTAGCTAACCGATTTTTATTGACATATACTATTTTCCTTCATTTTCTAAAAAATCAGGATGTAATCTACATATATAATGATGAAAAAAATGTTCTGATTTCTGGTCCTTGGCCAGCACAGAGAAAAGTTTCACGGCATTCTCCCTCTTAACTTGTTCCTTTTCAGGCATATTTAATACAAGTATTTGCCGTCATGCACTTCACTCTGACCAACGTATGTATGAGCTGACTTTGATCATCACATACTGCTATTGCTGTGAATCATTATGTAAGCTCTGCAGGTTTCTCGTCTGAGTGCCGATTTGAACTGCTTGCTACTACTAAGAGCCTGAGATATGGAATGACTCAACCAGCCACACAAATGTTTTACTGCCAATCAAAGCAAAAACTTCACTCCCTCAACAACATGCATTTCATATATATATTATTCATATCAAGGTAGTTTCTGTAGGTTGTAAGTCCAGTGTTTGTGATCCCCAATGGTTTTCCCTTTACTGCAGTATGCAATACAAATTTAGATTATGAGGACATGATGGCCAAAGGTATACAGAAGGGTGGCCATCATGGCTGTGGATTTTAGTGATCTTCTGCAGCAATTGCCACCATGAATTTCTTGTCCAGATGGCTCTTTTTACTTTAGAGCAAAATATTATGAAGTATGTTATATTTTAATAAAGACAAGAGACAAATATTAACTAATCAATTAAATCACACCTATTATTCAACTAAAAAACGAAATTTCTGCATTATTGCAAGAAAAGACTAGAAATTATACAATTAGTTTTAGTACTCTACAACACATTAAAATCTGTATTTATTCCACTTTCACTTTCTATACATTAACACAAAGAAGAACATATGACACTTTGAAAAACACAAAATGTTCAAAATTTGTAAGCTCGGGTATTTTTTTCTTCTTAAGAAAGAACAAAAATAGTTTTATATAAATTGATTTCAGAACTTTTTATGGATATCTTTCAAGTTTAAAAGTAGAGTAACTAAAATACATTTTTCTTACAACTGAAAAGTATTCTTTAACATTAAGTATTTCAGTAAAACACTCCTGGGTATAAAACACAAAGCTTAAAAGCTGTTCTCAACCTTCTGGTAATCTTTAGGACATTTAAATAAATGAAATTTACTTTAATATAATAATCAGTTTTTTCAAATTCCATAACCATACTCAGTTTCTATTAGAAAGCTTAACAGGTACAGGCTCATACACTTCTCAAGACAAAAAATTCCGAGAATCTTTCCAAACTTTTAAGGACTAAGAGTCAGATTTCAAGGACCTAAGACTAGTGGAGAAAATACTCAAATTAATCAGATTTTGGCATTGAACAAGTAGCATTACCTTAATACTTCATCTGTTAAACAAGTAGACAAATATGAAACTTCTAGAAGTGGAATTCTCTGAAAATTTGGCCAGGGATTTAGGACAGGTCTAGAGGGGTTTTGCCCTCTGACTGATATTAATTTCAACTCTTTTAAACCTGTAATTTTTTGCACATTCTGCCAGAATTATTTTCATGATGTCTTAATAATTATCACCATACCTTATAAAATATCTGGTCTATTTATAAAAGGTGGATAATAACATGGTTTGGATTGGTTTTCAGCCAAAGCAACCTAAATGTTATCAGATTTTGTCACTGACCAATAGGTAAAAATCAGGATTTTCAGCCAGACGCTGGCAGCATCCACTTGGGTTTAAGATGTTAAGCATTTTACCAACACACAATTTTTTAAAGTATTTGAGCTAGTTCCAAAAGGCAGTTGCTAGTATTAAATTCTTAGACAAAAACAACTTCAAGCTATTTTAAATGATCTGATATTCATGACTTATCTGCAATGATTTAACCAATTTGCTGATGTCTTTAAACACCGATTTTGAATGTATATAAAAAAAGAGCCATACTGGTCACTCTTTCCAGAAATATTGATGTTCCTAGCAAATGCATGATTGACTGCTTCATAAAAAACAAATATCAGATGATGCTGTACTACAACTCAATGTAGTTTGTGTTTTGTTGTTTATTCTTGGTGCAATTTATGTCTGAAAACAAAGATATGATTTTTATAAACATAACTTGGTATTTAAATATTTTAGGTGGGCGACATTTTAATAGCTGCAGAATTTTTTGTCTACAGTTTTGTGTTCCTCAGAATACATTTTTAAAGAAGTACAGGTTTATTCATACAAGGAAAAGTCATGTCTGACTAAAGTACCTGACAATGCTAAGTACAATCAGTATTTTATTAACATTTAATATTTAGAAAATATAAAAAAAATGGCACAGATATTTTTTTAAAGCACACATCATTTCTAAACTAAATTTTGTAGACTGATGCAACATCTGCATGATTTACAAGTTCAGTCACTAGTAGATCAATAAATAGTAAACAAAGACTAAAATGTTCATGACAATATCCAATACTTATAAACAACAACATCAAGTATTTATTTAACAAATAAAAACTAAATTGAATTAATACGAGTCTTGAATTCTTGCAACCATTTCAGATGCTAGCTATTTAGATAAAGTCTTCTGGTAAAACTAATAATAAAAAAAGAGAATTCTATCTGGTTAACTGGTTGTACAATTGAATTTTCTGTTCCATCTATTTTTATAGTAAAGTTGTTGTTAGTATTCATGCATCACTCATAGCAAGGAAGATTAGATGTCTTTTATATACTTAGTGTAAGAGTGCAGCTATCATGTATCAGCCTACATTATCACTTAAGCATAATTAGCAATAAGTTACTTTATTATTATTATGAGATATTAATGATCAATGAATTTATATCCTTATTTCAGCTGCTAACCAGAGAAGGGATGTATGTAGTGACAGGGTATGGGATTCAATCCTGGGTCTTCTTGTTAGAAAGAAAGATGCATTATCCACTCATCCTAGCTTTCACCCAACTGCGACTTGAACCAACTATTTGAATAGTTTCAGGAATAATAACCAGATTTTGCTAACTTTTATGCTCAGCTGGCTATGTATGTTATCAGTTAGATGAAAGAAGAAGGCTTTTTTTTTACTTTTTCTGTTATTTGGTTCATATCCCGTTATTTTAGCATTATGGAATTTTATTATATGATCTTCTCTAACATGATGAGCTATTGCAGAGAGATTAGTATTACTGAGCAAAAATGAATGGAAAAAATAAACAAATATAAGAAAACGAAATGCAAAAGAAGGCTTCTACATCCAACTAACCTGGTAATATATTGAGCCAACCTAGCACAGCAATCAGCAAAACATGAAAACCTCTCTTGAAACCATTCAGATGATTAGTTGATTCAAGTTCAGAAAGACTGACTTTTCTAACAAGGTCAAGGATCAAGTCTTTGGCCTTGTGACCACATACAATCCTTCCCCCAGGTCTTATCTAAAGACACATTATGTGAAGAACTGGATAGTAGCCAATGACACTTTTTCTTCATTTCACCGATCCAGTGTATAGGTTTTCCTCATAGTGAATACAAAGCACATTCACAACAATATGTTTGATACTTTTCACTATGATATAGGTCCAGCTTATCTCTCTTTGGTTAACGTGTGTTCAGGGTTACTGATGAGGAGTGGAATTCTCTGATACAAGTACAGGGGTGTTTAGTTACAGATTTTGATTTTATGACACACTATACAATGATAGTTGAAGATTGTTTACACTAGGGGAATGACTGGTTGTCATGAAATGTTTACTTTTACTGAAAGTTACTGGTTGTACTATAGGAAAATTACTGTTACTAAATCGACACAATTTAAATAGTAACATGTCTCATAAATTGGCATAGATGTCACTCTCCTCTAACATTACACAGTAAGAGTGGCTTAATGAGTTTTCTTTAGTCAAAAGACATGCTAGGGAGAACTGGAGAAAAAAACCAGGCATGTTATACTGCAGTTACGTTTCTCAAACGAGATATTGTATGATTTATATATAGTTACTTTAATTAACAGTACTGGTCATATTCTTTATATCGAATGCCATTACTTTTACATTTTGTTCGTAAACTTGTATTGCATTGTTAGCTTAATACATGTTATTTGAATTAACCTAAATCTCCTAAACTGACAAAAATTTGTGAAATGTTATTGTAATTACAACCAAAAATATTATCAACTGTGAGGATACTCAAGTAATGAAACAATGCATTGTAGAATATACAAGAAGGATATATTTAATTATTTATATTGATTGCCAGGCTGATTTCTAGTTTTGCTCTAAGCTTGCTTTGATCAAAAGTTAATGTTCATCATTCATTTTTACAGAATTTTTTCCAAAATTTCAATAATTGAATTCATACTTTTCAAGACTGATTTTGAAAAAGGTAATTTCAAGGTTTCAACAGCCCATACAAACCAAATACATAAACAAACCGTTATGTGAAACAAACAAATAATTTGTAGCCTTGGCATTTTACTCTAATATAAACACGAGTTGTTTTTTTTGTACTTTTGCACAAACTGAGATCTCGGATAAACTTCTGCTGTTACAGATCCAGTCTAACTGACGTATTTCGGTACTGAAGAAAAAAAAAATCCTGGAAATTGAACCATGTCAAATACACAAACATGAAATTCTATTTATCTAAATTTTTGTTCAAGTGAAAATCTAAAATAAATTAACTAGGAGAAACAAGGCTGAACATGCCTGCACTCAAACATAATGTATCATTATATTTAATAGGCCAAAGAAATACTTATGAAACATAGTCTTTGTATAACTATCCAATACTGAAATACATACCAAGAGCAGAAGGCAACTTTCCTCCTCTCTTAACTAGCAATCTAACACTGCTGCTACCCTGTCTGATGAGTTCTATCGCTTCTGCATGAGTCATATTCTTGGTGTTGATTCCATTGATTTCAATTATCTGGTCACCAACCTGAACATGAATCAGTTTTAATATAACAATCCATTAAATAGTGTGTATTGTTTAATACTCAGTTACTATACTAATATCTTTCCTTCCCTCAGCACATGATTTTTCAACTAATATAAAAACCTATCCACACCATTTTTTGTCTATAAATTTATATATAAATTTACATTTACTATTTTGGTTTAACTTCCTTTGATTCATTATCTTTCAAATTCATCAATTTTAAAAGTTACAGAAGTATGCATGAGGAACCATACAAGGAGAGCTAAAATATGCATAAAAGAAAAATAATGTATTTAACTAAACAAATGCTGGAAAAAAAGGATTTTTTCTGCAATGTATGTAAAATAAGATCTTCAAATGTTACTTTATTAAGTTAATGAAATTTCTTTGCTCATAAAATATAAAAACAGTAATAACCCATTGATTTCTATGTACACTGTACAATCCGTTCATGTGAGAATGCTTCAATCTTCCTAATAAGTTCAAAGTCCACAAAAAGCCAACAGTACATACGTGTAATTCCACTAATTATTTTCCATTTAATGTTCTTCCAGCAAGAACCTCAAAAGTGTTACTTTTATCTCAGTCCTACTGAAACTCATTTATTGTCAGCCTTAAGAATCCTAAGTTTGTCAAACAAATGTGAACAAACTTCATTGTTGTTTATTTTTAAGGATTAATTGTCTCTGTAAAGTAACTTACAATACCAAAATATTTGTCCTTTTATGGTATGTCAGTTATTACAGCTAAATTTTAATCTTTATAGATACAATCTGAAAAATGTTTTCATCTTGTTAATTTTGGATAGTTGATTATCTGCAATCTGTTACCCTGACATGTTGAACCATTTTAAAGTTTTGATTAAGCACCTGTAATCTGTTATCTTGATGTGCTGGACTGTTTGTTAGTTTGTACAGTTGCTAACCTGTAATCTGTTATCTTGATGTGCTGGACTGTTTGTTAGTTTGTACAGTTGCTAACCTGTAATCTGTTATCTTGATGTGCTGGATCGTTTGTTAGTTTGTACAGTTGCTAACCTGTAATCTGTTATCTTGATGTGCTGGACCGTTTGTTAGTTTGTGCAGTTGCTAACCTGTAATCTGTTATCTTGATGTGCTGGACCGTTTGTTAGTTTGTACAGTTGCTAACCTGTAATCTGTTATCTTGATGTGCTGGACCGTTTGTTAGTTTGTGCAGTTGCTAACTTGTAATCTGTTATCTTGATGTGCTGGACCGTTTGTTAGTTTGTGCAGTTGCTAACTTGTAATCTGTTATCTTGATGTGCTGGACCGTTTGTTAGTTTGTGC